CCCGGCCGGCGGTTGGCGGGGCAAGGGGGACCCGCAGCCGTTTGAGGAGAAACGTTGAAAGGCGCAACCGCCGTATTAACCGTCACTGCCGTCACCGGGTGTCCCCTCAGCATGGCGTGTGACCCGACCGTTGGCCCCGGCCGGCGGTTGGCGGGGCAAGGGGGACCCGCAGCCGTTTGAGGAGAAACGTTGAAAGGCGCAACCGCCGTATTAACCGTCACTGCCGTCACCGGGTGTCCCCTCAGCATGGCGTGTGACCCGACCGTTGGCGGCCTTAGGAAAATCATCCGCGAAATCGGGCAGGCATGGGCCGCCCAGGGACAAACTGTTTCGGAAACTTTGGTGGCGTTCATGGTAAGGGCAAATTAAATGTTTGGGGTGGGCTTTTCTCACTGTTACTTCATCTGGGTGTTTTTCTGGTCGCCTCCAAATTAGGTTGTGATCCATAAAATATGCAAATAAATACATATCGGTAGGAATAGACCTGAAGTTTCAAACCAGGGTGCCCATCGCGCGGCAGTTAAACCAGGTTTAAGGCCTTTGTGAGGTAGGGGACGAATTTTACATACAGTTAATAGTTCCCCCAAAGTTGCTGACGGACTGCACATTAGGAACAATTTCTTCACGGAAAGGGTTGTCAGGCACTGGAATGGGCTGACCAGGGAGGTGGTGGAGCCGCAGTCCCTGGGGATATTTAGGAGACATGGTACTTAGGCACATGGTTTAGTGGTGGCCTCGGCAGTGTTTGGTTAACGGTTGGACTTGGTCTTAAAGGTCTTTTCCAACCAAAACAGGTCTGTGAGGACATAAATCATTCCTTTGGTCTTCAAAGTCAACAGACTTCCAATGGCAGCTCCGCGGCAGCCTGCTCAGGCCGGGATGGTGACAGGCGAGGCTCTCGGGGTGACTTGGACTTTGAATCATCTCGGTTTCTGATAGCCCACATCATTGGGAGATTTTTAAGGGTCATTCAGTACAGAGTCCTAAAAACCTGAAAAAGTAGTTATTCCTCTGAATCACTGTCTGTGTGAGTAGAAGGCCCTGAAAATGCTACAGGTACTGAGTCCTGGGAACACTTGGAACTCGGAATGAGAGTTCTTCCTTAGTTATCTTCTGCAGGCAGATAAACCATTTTTTTCTCCCTAAAGTGAAAATGGGAAGTGTTCCCAAGTTCTAACAGCATTTCTTCCCGCTCTTTGTGAACAAAAAGGCATGACACACAGGTCAGTGTTTATTGCAGCAGCTATATTTATTCTTTGACACCTCTTCCCTCTACTCTGATGGATTCTTTTATTCGATTCTCTGTTTAGGCAGGGACAGGTAGTATAAGTGGGCTGAGTATTTGAAGGAGTGGGCTCGGATCCCATTTAAACTCAAAATTAAATTTAAACAATCTTAGCATTGTCCTTGGTAAACAATTATAAGTTTCTTAAGAAGTGTAATACACTTTGGCATCTCCTCTTCGGAGACACAGCATCGCTGCAGAATATAGTCCGAATACACCTACGGATCTGTGTCTGCAGAAAGATGGAGCTAGGTTCTTTCTTCATTGCCTGGTACAGGGACAGAATCAGCTCTTGATAGCCTCGTGTATGCATGTTCACATTGCTGTGAACCATTGTTCACAGCAGTACTGTCAGTGTGCCATTTTTTTGTCCCTAAAGGTCACACCGTGGCTTTAAAAAACTACGTTGGGCTCAAAAGCAGTCTTAATCAATTAAGCATGAACCTTTTCGTGGGTAGAAAGCTTTCGCATCTGTCTGGCAAGATACCCAGCATGCACACCAGTTGCAAACAGGCACGTATTTCCTGGCGTGAAATGCAGAACACTGGATTTTTTATCCAAATGGTAAACATTTATACTGATGGATGCCACGCCAGCTGAGAAGTCTACAACCAACCATGATGTGTTTTTCTAAAATTCTACTTAGCAAAATGTTTTTTGCAGGAAATTTGTAAAGGAGCTGTATTTAAATATTTCTCTACAAAGTTTGCATCACAGATGATAGATTTTATTTTTCACTTACGACTGAACTGAGATCGAAACTGGCAACGTGTGAAACAAGTAACTTCTGTTTCATTACTGAAGTTTGCATGGAAAAACAGAATAGTGCAGAAATACTGACAGCCTGTGAGATTTTTGAGAAAAAAGGTTAGTTGCAAAGAGTATATTTTGAGATATAAATTAACGTCTTTCTTTTGGCAATCTCTAGGTGAAAGCTGTTGTTTTAGATCCAAGAAATGACTTTAACGTGGACCAAAACCTTACGAAAAAGGAAGATGTGCAAAATATTATCCAGGTAATTCTGACATGGTGTTGAGAGTCAGTACTTAGCTAAGACTCTAGCATTATCTGCTGTGTGCCCCTGTAACCAAATGCCATTTTATTTTTATATGAACGCTCTTTAATGATACTTTATTCTCATGGTTCTGTAGCTAAAGAGGGGATTGTCTGTTCCCTCATGTTAATAAATGCCCTATACTTCATAGCGTTCATAGTATGTCGAGAGAATGGTAGGGAGGGGACTGTACTGCTGCTGTGAAACCTGTAGCAGAATCGCTGTCAGCTCAGACGTTTCCCCCGTTACGTGAAAGAACTCACTTCTGTGCCTCTCTCCTTAGCTCTGTGTTACCAGGCTGCTTGACACAACAAACCCATCCCTGAGCACAATTAAGATGCAAGTTTACTTTGATATGAACTATGCAAACCGAGGTAATTACGGTATAAAGAAATGTTTTCATAGAACAAGTTGATTCTGACTTTAGGGTTTAATCTCTCTCTCTGTAGGGCTAAGAATGATTCCTGTTAAATGACTGCTGGCAGTAAAGCAAAATAAAAATCCCTGAAGAAATGGGAATGTAGGAGGATGGTGTTTCGGTATGCTTCTAGTAGGGAAAAAAAGTCCATTAGATTTGAGAGTACACTTGTCTCATCCTGTCCAAGAGGTGTACTGAATGTCATGTGTCAGATAGCTTGAGAACAGTTATGCTTTCAGGTGCAGTGGCTACTTGCCTCCAGCGAGAAGAACTTGCGCTGTGCCTCTGTGTGTCTAAAAGAGAACCGGTACCCGGGAGGGCACTCACGTGTCTGAAAGAGAACTTGATGTTTTATCAGTATCCCTAATCGGGATGAGCAATCTTGAACAAGCAGTTACGGTTTTAACCAAGTATGTTTTGGTCTTACCAGTGGTGACTTCATACAGTCTGAGAATGGGAACGCGGGAGAAAAATGGGATGGGGAGAGTGTCTCTGCTGTAACTGTAACTTCAGATCTCAGTGGGACGGTGGGGGCTGGCTGGGACACAGAACACACAGAACAAGAGTAGACAAAAAAACCCACCATTTTGGTGTGGAGAGACTATGAAAGTATTTTCTTGTTAGCATGGATTAAAGCCAAAAAAATAGCAAAATTGCTAAAAAAAAAGGTGTGGAATAAAGCTGCTCCAAAATCTGAACTCAGTAAACTGAGTAAATCCAGTAAGATTCTGTGATCCTGAGTAGTGTTCAGGTTTGGGCGTGTTAAGTTCAGGTGTGTATGGAATGTGTGCGTGTGCGCTAGGTCCTACCACAGTCAGGGGAACCCAGAAAGCCAGAGACTTGCTGCTTCGTGTGGCCTGAGGAGTTCTCTGAACTCTACTGACTGATGTCAATCATGCTAATTATGTTGACGTTTAACACCACCATTGTTAATTATGATGGCATGGTACTTTGAACATCTCATCGACATATCTGTCCTTCAGAAACCTTAAGTTGCTGCTCTGACTGTGGAAATGAATTATACCCTTTGTATCAGCCAAATTCCAAATAATTTAGATAGCACTTTCTAACAATCCTCCTTGCCTAGTTGAGTTACTCAGCGAGCAGTACCGTATTCTGGAGAGAAGGCTGGCTCCCCTGGTCAGAGAAATCGCAGACAGCCGTCCTCGTATGCAAGAAGAGATGCAGAATGTCTATCACAAGATCGTTAGTTACGTGCTGCTGCGCTGTGGCCTGGGATCCCCAGTGGATATTCGGGTTGTCAGGGAGGTAACAGGTCAGTAAACTCCCAGTGGTGAAACTAAGCTCTTCTTTATAAAAAACAGCATTTCACTGTCTTCTGATCTTTACATACAGATGTTGTAAACTGTGAGGAATGCTCACTGCCCAAACTGTCACTCCTCAGCCTTGAACTCTAAATTTGCCATGGGTTTCCCACTTTTTGCAGGTCTTCAGGAGAGGGTATTTTTGCTTCTTTAATGATTTTGTTTTCTGTTCCCTCACACTGTGGGTTTTCTCACCCTTTGTGATGTTTCTAGCTGCCCTGCAGAGTGTATTCCCCCAGAGAGAGATGATTACTTTCATCTCACTCAGTAAGCAGAACAAAGAGCAACAGCTGAAAAATCTTGCCATGCTAGTCACAGGGATTCGGCTGTACCACAAGGAATGTGGGAGAGGAGGAAGCAGCATTGATGACTGTAAGTAGACAACAGCATTTGGTCTGTATATTCCCATTTAATTCTCCCTGGGCTTCTTCACTGGGGCGGCTCCAATAATATCACATCTCTCTAGATAACCGACTTTGACCCCGGCTCTGTAAACCTGAAGGAAAAGTAGATATTTAGTATTTAGTTATAGGTTTCCATGTAGGCTACTTCTTTTTAGCCAAGAGGGAGCCTTGTGTGGTTGATGTGGAAGGTTTATATGTATTAACTTCATGCACTAATTTACCTCATGATAACTTTTCCCTGATCCCTCACCATTAAGTGAATTAAACGTGTTATGTTTTCCTTTAAAAGCACTTAATTAAAACCTTTAAAGGACACTGCCAATCCAATTACAATTTCCTGTTGCATATGTGTAATGAGAAGTGATAAAAGTTGCTGGGGCGTTATCTGTATTCTGATAATGTAGAGTGACCTCTTCAGATTCTTTAACACGGTCTCAGCAAGCTTTTGCATTTTGGATCCTCCTCAGTGGAAATACCCTTGTGAATGCGCATGTAGTGCTGTAGCTCAGTGTGGTGACTTGTTTTTAAGAAAGGTCTGCAGCCCAGTTTTAGAGGAAACTGAGAACTGAAAATTCTGCAGATTGCCTAAAGTCTCTCGGGAAACCTGTGTCAGTAGCATCACCTGAACTGCATCTACTGTAAAGCAAGTTTTCTCACAGGCCTTGGCTTGACTGTGGTATTTCCACTACTTGAGTCTGACTGGAACCACTTGCCTAGTAAGGTAGAGGGGTTGGAATCTAGTGTGCAAGCATTTGGAAATGCATGGATATAAGGACAAAATCTAGAAAATCTATTGGAAGTCGGCTTTGCTCAAGTACTGCACTGTAATCTTTCGCAGTCATCATTAGATTTAAACCATTCACCATTAATTAATCACTAATCATTACATTTACATAATTCTTTATATTTCTCTCTCTCATATTGATTCTCTGCAAACAGTGCCAGCCATTCTGAAAGAAGCCATTCCGTCAGCTACGCAGGCTGTCAACGAATGTCTCAATACTTGCCTTACGCGAGCGTACCGGTACACAGCCCTGTTGGAATCCATGCAGGAAGACCAACACAGATACGCACAGCTTCGTTCTTTTAAATTCAGAGAAGCTTTGTTCAACGTCAGACAGTATGAGGCCTTCCTTTGCGTCCTGCTGGTGAGATACCACCGTGTTACATCCCGTGGCTTTTTATGGCAGGTGGAATGTGGTCAAGTCACCTATTTGTACAGGACAGAAATACAAGAGAAGTGATTCAGAAATAGATAAAATGTGTCTCAATATCTGAGAATCTCCATCATCAGTCATGCTGAACTCTGTATCTAACTTTCTGGGTTTGGCTTCTCTCAGGTAGAACATGAAATGAATGAATGGTTTGCTGCAGTGCGACTGTGCTTCCATTTAATTTCTGGAGGTTTCAGTTTTTTGGCTTAATGTCATTAGCAAAGCACTCAAAAAGTAGGACTTTTTTTCTTATTTGCATACTGGTGGTCACTCTGCATGAGGAGGAAAAGTCTCCTTGTTCAATGCATAAATCACCTCCGTTTTAGTCTGCAGACGTCCCCAGCACACACGGAGTCATCAGAAGTCTTTGAAGAATACAGTTTTAAGTTCTTGAAATTTGTTTTATTTGTGAAGAACTTTTCATTTGTCTTTTGAGAAACTGCAGGGTTTTATTAGGTTTTCCTGTCTATCATAAAGCTTGGAAAAATAATTCTCTCTTAATTTTTATTTTCCAGTTCTCTTCATTATAACAATGTAGAGGTTTACTATAAAAATTACTAGTATACGTTTGAGAGGAGCACCTGGTTTTATACCTGAACACCTATGGAAAAATGTGTTTTGTGGAAAGTTAGCAGCATTTTGTTCCTTAAAACAGTCTGAAAATAGTTGAATGAAGGGGTCCAAGTAAATACTGATTAGTAAATAGTGGATTTTTTGGCTGTCACACTTCCTACCTGAAGCAACTCCTCTTTCCAGTCTGACGCAGTTACAAGTGCTGAAGAAGTTGCAAAGGTGAACGTGCAGTTTGCAGCAACAATGGAGCAGTTGAAAAACACAGTGCAGAATAAGGTTTCCATAGATACCAAAGAAGTTTTTGTAAGTATTTTGAATGGAGGACCTATTTCTGCTTAATTATAGAAAATTACTAAAGTATTACCAGTGGATTTTTGAATAGTTTGTGTTAAGAAAAGGGCTACATTATTTTCTCTCTATTATAACAGCAGCTGTGATTCTTGAAGGGGCAACTGAACTAAAAGATTTGATCTCAAGGTAAAAGAAAGGTACAAAGAAGGGAAGAAGGAATTAAATGGTATTTTACTGTGTCTTGAGTCCTTTGTCAGTGTTTGTAGATTTATAGTGATATTTTCCTGGTTTGTGTAAATATTTTCCTGTTCCTTGCAGACAGAGTCAGAGCACAATGGTGACACAAACAGTACATCAGAGTGTGGTTCTCTTCAAGTCCTTTCAGATTCCTGTAATTACAGTATGACTCCTTGGTATTTTCCTAAAGAAATCAGGTTTCTATGGTGAGGGTTTCAACCTCTTTGCTCCTCCCAGTAGCTTCTGACCCTCTTAGCCAGTTTCAGTCAAATTTGTCAGCCCAGAGATCTCAAAATAATGCCCTTTGCTGCAAGTTTGCTGTACTGTTTCACCCCTCGTTGGGAGGTACAGGACATGGGAGGGAGGTGGTGGAGGCAGAGGGAGTGAGAGATGAGAACTGCAGGTATTGTGAAAGAGGGGGCTCGATGACCCTGTGAAAACCTGGGATTATGATGATGGCAGGGTGCAAAGGAAATGGGAGATAATGAGTGAATTTGCTTTTCATGGAAGAGTGCATTATGTTGTGTGATATGCCTGTCGTTTCAATTCCCTGTAGTTAGCTGCTGAACTAGCATGCACTACATATTTAGGTTAAATCTCATTCTTCTAAACAAATACTTAGAAAGCAAACGAGAGTCTCCTGTGGAGGAGGAGGAAGGAAGATCATTCCCCCAACACCTACTCCAGTTATTTTTTACACTTCCCATAAGGGCCTCTGAGGTGGAAACTCATGGAAACGGCACTTCAGCTGA